AAAGTTGAAAGAAAAGGTGTTAACATCAAAGATATTTAAAGGCAATAGATTCGTTTACCTTGAACTGTTGTACCGAGATGGCATGAAACTACCTTTACAGCCCCAAGAACAATGGTGATAAATATCGAATGCAAAATTTTCCGGCAATTTAGGAGGTTGAGTTTCAGCTAGAAATGATTTACAAAGTCGCTCAGCTTCACGTTTAGTTATCATACCACAGCGTCGAGATGAGACCGGCATGGCTCCAGCTCTACGTAACAACTCCAACTGGACTGGTGTACATTGGATACAAGTGATGCCAAGTGCGACTCTCCTGTGCAAATAACCAAGATTGAATCAAACAAAAAGCAGGAACAAAAAGTTGTTTACAAATTTTAACGGACAATAGCAACAATTGTAATAAAGGTGCGTACTTACCTATTGTGAATCTCATTGTAACTGAAATTTTTCAATAATGTATTAGATATTTGGGCTAAACAAAGGCGTTCAACTCCGTCCATAATTAATGCAATAATAGGCACACCATAAAGCATTACAGTTCGTACTTCACTGTTTCTGATGGTCGATGAAACCGTATAATTGGTTGTTGTATCACTTTGCACAGTTTCGTTTGTTGGCATGGCTCACAACAATTATTTAACTGTTAATGGCGACAATTAAAATCAATTATGGAAACCCACAACGGGTTACTTGATATGATGTACAGATTGACACTCGAGGAAACATTAACACTCACAAATGAAATGGAAACATTGAGGAGGAGTGAAAAATGATTAGTTAAAATTGAAACCAAAAACAAGAACTAATTAAAGGAAACAAAATTATCGTTGACTTGTTATTAAATAACACAATTTACAGTATAACTTATAATATTTGTTTATAGTTAAACATTAGACTAGATTAGTTAAGATGAAAGCTATAAAAGTTTAATAATCAAGTGATAACATTGGTTTATAACAAGCAAGTCAACTGACTTAGAAAATGTTCAACTTTATTAATATGTGTTGTGTTTAGTTGACATAAAATGACTACAACAATTGATTGTTAACCATTCACAGAATCTAGTTTAGACTCAGTTAACATTGTGCTCATCCATATTATTTTGGGCTTAAACTCCTCCTAAAATGTTTACCATTGGATGAAATAAAATTTTTACCAGCCTCTTGCTATGAATATACTCAATACCCTCACTCATGGACACATAGATGTATAATAATATTAACATTATACTCTCTGTCTCTATAAATGCTGTTAAATGCTGTTAAATGTTGTTAAATATATTCTCATCTGATTGACTTATTTGTTGCTTCATTGGATCAAATAGATTATTATTGTTATCTTTCCTCTTAACTATTCCCAATCTTATTTTAACAACACTGATATTAGCAGTTCTCATCATTATTATTACAGAGACTTGGAGGGAAATATTTTTAAAGTAAAACAAGTCAAAATTTAGAGTTTTTGATTCAATAGATTGCTTTATTTCTTAGCTTTCTATCTTCCTTTAAATTACAATCTATTAAAAAGGTGTCGAAACGTTGCTTAATTTGAATAATCAATTAAATGGATATTGATCTTGATGTAAGAGTTTACACTTTATATTTTGTATGGATGTGTATACAATTTAACATTTTGTTTAAACACATAAATGTCTTGGATTTCAAATGTTTAACTTTCACGCTATTTTGTTGTCATTTTAATTCAAATGAGTTATTTGTGTGATAGTCTTTTAAACACCCAAATAAAACTATAAATAAGACAGGGAATGAGGTAGACATTTACGGAAGAATCTGATGATTCTTAATCCTATTGAGCTGGTTTTCACATTTCTTACACTTTAAAGATGGTCACCAGATATTAGCGACATTAAAAATTTTAAAAAAGCTAAACTACACTTTTAGAGTTGAAAGAGAGAACTGAAATTTTTAGTTGTGGGATTGAACATAAATCAATTCAGATCAATCGATAAATCCAAATGAGGGATATAATTTTAATTTTTAATAATATCAACAAAGGAAGGAATTTTCAATCGCAAAAGTGTAACTTGTCTAATTACTCACTAATTATTAATGAGTCTTACTGGGTTCTTAACAAAACAATCACAGGTTCAACTATTTTCTTTAATTATTAAGAGTACCCAATGTTAGATGCTGTTTATGTTTAATATATCACAAAAAATAGCAAAAAATTGTTTGATGTCAATTTACACAATTTAAAAATAAAAAAGTCCAAAAACAACATTCATCCATGTAGGGCCATCTGTGGCCATCTATCGAAACTAAATTCTAGCTCGAATTTGATTAAATGATAATTTGAACAACATTTCTACTTTATTAAACTGTTTATGGTGAATTACTTGAATCTTAATGGATGATGTCAGCATTAGAACAAGCATTCTTATTGATAATCACTTCAAATCAAGCAACTAATCAATTTTAACATTCGAAAAATAATAAGAGCTTTTCACTTAATCAAGTTTAGATTCATCTATCTTCACTTTAATTTCAAGAAAACTGATTAAAAGACGCTAAATCTTTCAAGCAAATTTTAAGTAAAGCTGTCATATAATATTTGATAAAGTTAGTAGCATTAATTGAGTTATCAACGAGTTTTTGATCTGAAAATGAAAATTCAAAAAGCGTGAAATCTCGATAAGTAAGCTGCGGCTGCGTGTGTTAAGAAATAGCGCCCAATGGCAATGCGCAGCCATTAGAGTTTAGATTCCTGACTTTTACTCAACAGATTTTATGATTATCACACTGTTTTACATTTTATTTTTCTAACTAACCATCATTTGTACCATCTTTTCTTTTTTTCTTCTAATTAACCTTCCCCTTATTTCCTATTTTTCATTCTGACCAGCAAAGGTTAACACCATTAACTGTTCAATCTAGTTCAATTATGGAAACTCCAAAGGATAACAAATCTAATGTTGAGGGCGGCGGTGATGCCAATTCGGAATACATCAAGCTTAAAGTAGTCGGCCAAGATTCAAATGAAATTCACTTTAGAGTCAAAATGACCACCCAAATGGGTAAATTAAAAAGGTCATATAGTGAACGAGTGGTAAGTTTAACCTTTTCAAAAATTATCTTTTGTCATTCCTTTGTTTAGTTTGAAAAGCACACATTTTTTTTTTCTTAACTCTATCTTATTTTGTCTTTTTTTCTCTACTCTTTTCCTCAATTCCAGGGTGTACCAGTTACTTCATTG